AAAAAAAAAAAAAAAAAAAAAAAGTCAAAGAGGGCCAGGGATTTAGCTCAGCAGTCCCACTGCCTGCTTCATAAGTGCAAGGTCCCAAGTTCAACCCCCGGTACCAAAAAAAAAAAAAAAAAAAAAAAAAAAAAAAAAAAAAAAAAAAAAAAATCAGAACATTCATCTTGGGCCAGGAATTTGGCTCAGTGTTTCCACTACCTGCCTTGCAAACACAAGGGCCTTAGTTCGATCCCCAGTGCAAAAAAAAGAAAGAAAGAAAAAAAAAGTCAAAGAGAAAAACTATCAATGAGCTATCACCAGGAGGAGTTTAGAAAAGAACATCAGCAGTACTGGACTAGTGCTAATGCTGTAACTTGCAGACAGGGGCTGACTGGGGCTCGTTCCTCAACAAGGCTCTGTGGAACGTGCTTGCCCACTCCCATCCCTAGCACCCAGATATTGCATGGTAACAGAACCAGACACCAGAAAGACACTAAGTGGAGACTCCAGGAAAAATCAATTCCACTCCTGTCATCTGTGAAGGGGTGTGTGCTGGGTGCAGTGGTGCACACCGGTAGTCCTAACTGCTTGGGGAAGTTGAGGCAAAAGGACAGCTTGAGTCCAGGAGTTTGGGGCCAGCCGGGACAACACAGGGAGAACTCATCTCAAAAACCAAAGAGGTGGGCCGGGGATTTAGCTCAGTGGTTCTGCCAACTGCCTTGCAAGCGAAAGGTCTCAAGTTCGATCCTTGGTACCCAACACCCCCCCAAAAAAAACCCAGAAAGGTATTTGTTTCTGTTATTGGGTGCAGGGTTGTTGGGCTCAAACCTGAAACTTCATGCAGGCTGGGCACACACTGTACCATTGGACCACACCCACAATCCTAAAAGGCATTTCCTCAAAAATGCAAAACACCTGCAACAAACAAATTGAGGAAAATCCTAGGAAATCAATCTTCAGTTGAAACAGATGCAAGCAATGTAGGAACTAATTTAGAAGGAAAACTTAATTCAACAAAACCACTCAGTCAATAATATAGAATTAAAAACTTGAAATTACTTTCCCCCAGTGTTAAGTACTTGCCAATGGGCAAATGAATAAAAATCTCTCATTTTCTCTAGAACAGAAATGGATAAAATGGTTTTATCCATTTGTTTTTTTTTATATATACCACACAGGAAAGAGTGCAAACAGTTGAGTAGCTGCTCTGTGCAATGCTGGGTTCAATCCTTGGTACCACCAAGAAAAAAAAATTCAGACCAAAAATGCCAGAAAATGACACGGTGCTACCTTCTTTAGCATAAGAAGCAGAAAATAGTAAAGGAAAACAACAGTTAAATAGGCCATCAGGTACAGATAGGTGTTCATGCTTCAAAAGCCAACACACATTACAATGAGGCAAGTAAAAATACACATAATAACCCAAACTTTCAAATATAGCCCTAGTGGCCAATGAATGTTTATCAACAATATAAAAGATGCACTGATCAGAACAAAGACAAGAAGCCAGTAAGAGTCCATGAGCCTTACTTCTTAATCACAAAACGAATCCTTTCCTTTGCAAGCAATATTCTCTCAAGGCGAGGAATTCCGTATGTAGATGGCCTTCTAAAAGGAATTCCTTCGGGAAGTCCTTCAACATAAAGATCTTCCACATGAGACTGGAAAAGAGGGTATGGGATCGTCACCGGACCTTTGGCTTTTATAGCTTGAGCTTTAAGGATAGAAAGAGAAAAGGATTATCATTAAAGACAAAGTTTAAAAAAAAAAAAAAAGACAAGGTCTAAGCACACTTCGGAGAAAAGAACAATAACTGAATGTGCACTGCTCTTATATCTTTACTCCTGATTTTGTAATTGAATCAAAAGAAAAATGATACACAAAAACACCAAAGACCACAGCATTCCTGTTTACTGGAACCTGCATGAAATAACCCATTAATTTAAGGCAATATAGATAGAAGAGAGACTCTTAGTGAAATCTAAAACTATATCATCAAGGAAGAAAAACATACCACTTAATACATATTATATATTAAAACATAAACATTAGTATAATTTTTATTGGTTTTGTCAAAGGATTTCTCATAACGAACAACAGAAGGGGAAGATTTTCTTGAATGGCAAAATTTCTACTAATATTATTTACCCAACAGTAAAATAAACCAACAGGGTTGTAAAAAGACCAGCCTGGAAGCTACGAACAACCAAAAATACTGTGGCTATGTCCACCACCCCAAGAGCTGCAGTTTTTTGCTGGTATTTTGTATAAAAATCAACTTGCTAAATATCAATACAGTATTTGTATTATTTCAAGTGTACTCCACTACACATTAACACGGGTTAGATTTGAAAACCTCCCTTTGCTAATATACTAAATCTGAATATCTTTTTTTTTTTTTTGAGGCAGGGTCTCACTTTGTAGTTGAGACTGAGCTGGAACTCACTATGTAGCCCAGGCTGGTCTTGAAATCACAGCGATCCTCCTGCCTCAGCCTCCCAAGTGCAGGGATTACAGGCATGCACCACCACACCCGGCTTTTGAATATTATTTTAATATTACAGTGGGAATATCTTCTGCTAAGGAAAGTACCATTAAATTTGCTTTGAAATTTCAAAATATGAAGATTATTATAACTCCACAGAAACTTGTACACATTTTATCTACAAAACAATCTAATTATACTCAAAACAAAAGCCACAAAACATTGGCTTTGCTTTATGAGAAGCATAAATTTATAAAACTGTTGTAATACTAAATTATTTTTACTCAGACTACCAAATTTAATAAAAAATATAAATAGCAAGCGTTTATGTATTTATGAGCCACACATTATGTGAAGTACTTCATTACCTCATCAGATGTTCAGAACTTAACAACCATTTCACAAAAGAAAGCTTGAGAGGCCGAGGGTACAGTTCAGTGGTAGAGCCCTTGCCTGACATGTGCAAGGCCCTGGGTTCAACCCCAGAACTGCCACCAAAAAGTATAAAAGGCTCAGAGAGAAAAAGACATGGCCATTCGGTCCCAGTGATCTTCCCATTTACTTACATTTTATTCTTATTTTTATTTGTGTTTTTTTTTTTTTTTTTGAGACAGAGTCTTGCTATGTAGGGCAGGCTAGCTTTGAACTCATTACATGGCCTCAGGTGATCTCAAATTTTTCATCTTCTTGCCTCAGTCTCACATGTGCTTATAGGCACGTGCCACCATGGCCAGCTCAGCCTGTGTCCTTATCAACATGTTACAGTGTTTTCATTTCGCATGGTATATTGTGCACTTTTTTTTTTTTTTTTGCTTTCAAATAGGTCTTTAAACCAGGGTGGTGGAACACACCTATAAACCCATCACCTGAGTTCAAGGCCAACCTGGGCTGCTCAGTGAGTCTGTATCTCAAAAACAAAACAAAAAGAACAATTAAAAGCACAAAGTCAGGTGTGGTGTCCCCCACCTGCAATCCCAGTACTTGGGAGGCTGAGGCAGGAGAGAATCACCACAAGTTCAAGGCCAGCCTGTGCTAAATAGTGAGTAAGGGGCCAATCTAAACTACATAAAAAGATACTATCTCAAAAAACTGGAGAAACAGCTGTGGGTGTAGCTCATTGGCACTGCACCAACCTGGCAAGTGCAAGGTCCTGAGTTGGATCCCCAAGAGGTATGTGGGGGGGGGGTGTTACACAGACCAACTCTCAAAAAACCAACACAACCAAACACTAAGGTTAAAAAAAAGCATAGCCCCCCCAATACACACACACACACACACACACACACTAATGAAGAGTGGGAGGAAATTTAATAGAACTTTAAGGAAAGAATGGAAAATATTATGGAAAAGTAAGTAAATTTACTCTAATTGTAGATTTTCAACGAGGGCTAAGGTTATCCATGGTAATGAAATAAATGATAAATGAAACTCTGCTAGTCTGTAGAACTAATATGAACTACAAGAAAGGAGGAGAGGGAGGCAGGCAGATGGATAGATGGACTGATGGATGGACAGACAGATGGAAGGATGGTCCCATGGGGCTGGGATGTGGCTCAGAGGTAGAGCACTGCCTGGAGCACTGGTGGTGAATTTATAGCATGTTTGTTTTCACTGAAAGCTCTAAAAGGTTCACAGTCACTGGCCCAGAGTATGCAAGGCCCTGGCTTCATACCCACTGGAGCAAACAAAACAAATGTCCAAGCTGACCTTGGATTAACCTCACTACAGTTTATCAGCTCAAAACATCTCACTTAAATTTAACAATGCAATATAGCACTTCAATAATTATATTTACAAGCAAAATTTCTATGTACCAAGCCAAGCCCAGTGGCCCAGTTAGTCAGAGGTTGAGACAGGAGGATGCCTGAGCACTGGAGTTCAAGGCTAACTCCGGCAACAAAGGACATCTTGCCTTGAAAATCTATGTATTGCAGAATCGTACAATTTGTCAGTCAATTGCAAAGAGTCACCTAAATAAAAAAAGGTAAAATGTGATGTTTTAAAATGACTCTTGGTATTTTTTTTTTGGTACAGGGAATCAAACTCAGGACTTGTGCTTGAGGAGCAAGTGTGGCACCACTGAGGTAAATCCCCAGCCCCAACCAACTGTTGGTATTTTTAGGTATTTGATGTATATCATTGGGTACTAGTAAGAAATTGCTTATTTATTTCATCAGGAAGGCAGCTATAGGATAGAATGGAAAAATAAAAGGGTAAGGAAATTAAAATTTAACTTAAACTCAGTTTTATATCAAGGGTAGAGGGGAAAAAAAGGGCATCTCAGTAAATAATGGATTTAACCCAGCAGATTGAGAGAAACTACTAGTTATCTTCAAACAAATCTCCAATGCCCAAGATTTACAATATATACTACAATTCCAATACGCTTGCTGAAAATCTAAAAGAACTGCTTACTAATTACAGAAAGAGAAAATTCCCTTATCTTGTGGTAATCTGGAAACACCACCTCTGATATTCATACCCCATGAATGACCATAAGCCACGATTCTCTGGCAGATCTGGATTGAACTGTTCACACTGCCTTGCAATGATGACCAATGACTCCCATTGCTTAAATGCTTATGAAAAAAGAATTCTCCAGTTTAAACATACCATATTTCCTTTCAAACAACTCTTCAACTTGTTTACGTAGATCAGTAATTCGAGCGTTCCATTTTTCTACAAAGTGAGAGAAAGTTAATTCTTAGTACACGAGTCCCTGAGTAGGAACTGGCATGTTCTTTAGCTGACCCACTTCTAATGAGGCTTGTTTTCCAAGATCTCCAAATACCATTGGCCTGTCTCAGTCCACGTAACTTTACTGCTTTTTGAAGTGCTTTTCCCTTTCTAATGGTTAGAATTATTTCCAGAGGAGATTCTGAAATGTTTTATTGAGGTTTACATTTAAAAACACTTCACACTGAGTACTTTTTATTTCTTTAAAGCAAGGGGCCAGGAAAGACCAGTCAAATTAAACACTGCAAAACAGTGGCAAACATCTGGAATCCTAGGACTTGGAAGGTTGAGAAAGGAGGATCTTAAATTTGAGCCCAGCCTGGGAAACTTAACAGTGACCTATTTCAAAAAATAAAAAGGGGAAGGCACCTAATACATACATACTGAGTATGGATGGATAGATTGCAGGATCCCAGGAATTTGTCAACCGGTACCCATTTCTCAATCCCTCTCCTCGGGCCAGCGAAAGTCCTAGGGCTTTAGGGTTAAACTAAAGGTTTTATGTCTAGCTATTAGAAAGTACCATCTCTGACCAGACTCTTGGTTGGGAGAGCACCGTGTGGTCTTTGTAACAAAAGTGCTAATATGATTGTCCTTTCCAAAGCAGGACCTACCCAACGTAGATCTCATAAGGTTAAGAGTCTCAGGCTTGTGGGGAACGGTGGCGCATACTATAATCCCAGCGCTCACGAGGATGAGGCAGAAGGATGCCAGAAGTTCCAGGCAATCAGAGTGAGTTCAAGGCCAGCCTGAACTACATAGTGAGACCCTGCCTCTAAATAAATAAATTAATAAACTTACTTATTTTTTAAAAGGACTAGGATATAGCTCAATGCAAAGGCCCTGGGTTCAATCCTTAGTACCATTAAAAAAAAAAATTGGCACAAAAAGGAGGTCTCCAGGCATCATTTAGGAGTTGTGTGGAAGTAAGATGTTACAGGAATGCAGCCGCAACTCCTAACAGAATGCTGGAGAATACGAGCATGCACAAGCTTCTGTCCATGCAAATATAACTGGGACCTAGCAGCTGAGCCTGTAGCTCAGTGTGTCCAAAGCCCTGGGTGCAATCCCCAGCACTGGGAAAGAAATGAAAGAAAGAGAGAAAAAAGAAGTTATATTTATTCAAACTATTCTATTTGGGCCCTTAACTGGGTGTATTAACATGTAGGGGCTAGTAGATTAATAGCTAGTAGTGACATAAAAATGAACATCAGTCTGTGGAACTGGTCTTAAGTAAAAGACTTATTATTAATGCTAAGAAAAATGACTGCATTACTAATTCACTGACACTGACTGAGTGCAGTTCATTTAATCAGAAGCAGAAGATACAATGGTTGAGGCTTCCAGCCAGTCAACCCAGCTAGGTGTAAACACTGGCTACACCACCCCCTGGAACCGCACCAGTCTATCCGACCCACAGCACTGTCCCTGCCACGAAGGCTGCAGCTGCCCTGAGTCAGGGCTCCCCAAGAGCACCTACCAAAGTTGAACTCCCGCACTTTTCGCTTCCCGGCATTGGCAGGCTCTGGGACTGGGGGAGGCGGCGGCTCGTTGCTCTTTGGTCTCTTGGTAGGTGGAGAGTAATCATCATCTTGAGAGAGAAAACCGTCATTACTGGAGGACAGGGTGAGTGGGTGACGCAGCCACAGGCGCAGGACACTAAGGGCTGGCTCCACACTGTCCTACCAGTGCGGGTTTCCAAGCCACACCAAGCTTCCCTACTCACGGGGCATGAGCACAAGCGCACTCTGCAGGGTGTTCCCTTTGTCTTGCTTTGTTCTAGTCTTGTTTTGTTTGAGACAATCTATGTAGTTCAGGCTGACCTTGAACTCATTATGTGACCCAGGTTGGCCTCGAGCTTGTGGCAGTCCTCCTGCCTCAGCCTCCCAAATGATGGGAACACAGGTGAGCATTACTACACCTGGCTTGCTTTTTTTAAAAAAACAAATTTATTATAAATTTCCTCCACCCCCATCTCTCAAACAGCTGCCTAGAATTTTACTATTTTCAAGAAAAATATTTAATGAAGATAGCTACCTAAAATTATACACATATATAAGAAAAGAAGGGCAAGCTGGGCACGACAGTACACTCAGGCTGAGAGGGGAGGATCGTAAGTGTAAGGCCAGCCAGGGCTATACAACGAGTTTGAGGCCAGCCTGACTGCACAGCAAGACCTGGTCTCAAAAACTCTAAAGAAAAGGAGGATAAAATAAATCTTGCATGGAAAAATATTTAAGCTAACACAAAACTTGAGCATACATACATACATACATACATACATATATAAATGAGAAGATGACTATATCAAGTATTTTAATGATACAAAAACATGTACATATATTTATTTCAAAGCACTTCTTGAAGCTCAGCAATTTCTCTGTGGATAAGGAATCTAACTCAGCTCTGCTACGATCTTTCAATCCATCTAACTGTAGGATCAGAGACACCTGGCTCAAATAAGCTAAGCTATGATCGCCATCTTCTAAACCCTAAAAATGTCAGGTAACACACTACCTAAGAGTTCTGCCCAAATAACCATCTATAAATCATAGAGAGGATCATTTAGAAGAATCTTTATTTAAAAACAGAGTAGAAAACAATTACGGTTACAGACAATAGCAGTGACAAAGGCCCTTCCAAGGCAGCAGTGTCCCCTGGCCCCCAGGCCACTGTCCGAAGGTGAACCGTGAACATCTGCCCAACCAGAGCCTCGGCCTGGGTTGGCTAAGCTTCCCAGGCTGCATCTTGGGCAAGAGGAGCTGGAGGAAAGCAGAATAGGCCATGACCTCCTTTCTCCTTCCCCGCTGGAGTGGTTCACTTTGTGTCAATAGTATCTTGAAAATGTTTACTGTTACAACCAATTAGAGAAGGTAACCAATACAGATAGATTCACATGCAGATCTACTTATGTGCTTCCAAAGACAAAACTGCTTTCTTACAGGGTATATGGTTATATTAGGAAAACATCATGTTAATTTTAAAAATATAAAAATAACTTCTATGTGCTGAATGTCACTTTAGGAATGAAATTCAGAAAAAAAGATTAATATAAAATATAAATGTAACAATTCCCCAAAATGAATATCATTACATATCATAAATATATACTTTGGGGGGGGGTTGAGACAGGGTCTCACTATGTAGTTGAGACTGACCTGAAACTCACTATGTAGCCCAGGCTGGTCTCGAACTCATAGCAATCCTCCTGCCTCAGCCTCCTGAGTGCTGGGATTACAGGTGTGCGCTACGCCCGGCATATATACTAATTTAAAAAACCCATAAAGAACAAGGTGTGGTGGTATAAACCTGTAATCCTAGCACTTGGGAGGCTGAAGCAGGAGGATCAAGTTCAAGGCCAGCCTAGGCTACATTAAGAGTTTGATGCCAACCTGGACTATTTAGCTGACAGAAAGCAATTAAAATGTAACAAATTTTGCAGGGCATGGTGGTACACGCCTATAAACCCAGCACTTGGGAGGCTGAGGCAGGAGGACTGCCACAAATTAGAGGCCAGCCTGGGCTACACAGTGAGCTCAAGACCAGCCTGGATTACATAACCAGACTCTGTCTCAAAACAAAACAAAAAATTACAAATTCCCTTTAAATAAGAGGTGACTATGTCATCTCAGTTTATAATTATGAAAATCCTATAAAATTTTAAAATGCTCAAAAGACTCTATAGAAAGATTAAGGTTCCAACCTAAATAGAAACATCCTTGAAAACACTGAATACTGTTTCCAAGTTTGGTCTTCAATTCTGAAAATATACATTTAAAAACCTTATTTTCCAATTTTCAAACAGATTTTAGGAACACTAAAGAGTTATTTTTATGCTGGCTTCCAGAGAGCAAAACAAAATATATTCATTTTAACTATGAATACTGCCCTTGCATTATATATTATGCTTAGGATTAATATTCTTTAGAGACAGTAAGCAATGAATTAGAAAATAAAATTATTTCCCTACAGGCTGGTGCAGCCCAAGTACCTGCAAATCCTCATTTAAATGGACTATGAGCTGCTTGACCTGAAAAGTCAAATCAGAGCACTGGACAGGAAGGAGGTCCAGGCATGAGGCTCCACGGACCCAAAGCTCCGGGAAGCGAGGAGCAGGCCTCAGGTTTTCAAGCCTGCAAAACTTACTTGAGAGCACGAGGAACGGAACAGCCTGGAGATTCTTTATGAAGCAAACTGAGCAACTGAGTGTTAAATATAACAAAGACTGCAAAATATTAAAAACCTGGCTCAGTGGAGCATGTGGAATGCTCTTGAATCACAGCTACTCAGGAAGTTGAGGCAGAATCCTCAGACCCATCCTTGGGTCCATTAGTGACTCCTAATTTTTTTTTTTTTTTTTTTTTTTTTTGGTACAGAGAATCAAACTCAGGGCCTCACACTTGCCGGGCAGGTGCTGTGCGTTGAGCTACCTTCCCGACCGTAGTGAGTCTGTCTTAAAAATAAAACAGCTGAGATGTGGCTAAGTGGTAGAGCATTTGCCTGGCCATGCACAAGGTCCTGGGTTGAATCACCAGTGTCACCCCCCCCCCACAAAATTGGTATCACACTTCTCTCCTGGGACAAATACTGAAGCTCCACCAACAAATACAGAGGGGGTGTGGTGGCACACGCCTGTAATCCCAGCACTCAAGAGGCTGAGGCAGGAGGATCGCTGTGAGATCGAGACCAGTCTGGGCTACATAGTGAGTCCCAGGTCAGTCTCAGCTACATAGTGAGACCCTGTCTCAAAAAACCAAAAAAAAAAAAAAAGTGTAGGCACTGTAAAACTTATAAAAAAATATATGGGGCGGGGGGGTGAAACAAGGACCCACTATGTAGTTGAGGGTGGCCTTGAATTCATTACACAGTCCAGGCTGGCCTCAAACTTGTGGCAATCCACCTGCCTCAGCCTCTCAAGTGCTGGGATTATAGGCGTAAGACACCACATCTGGCAGGAAAATGTATTACTCTTGACCTGAAATCCTTTCCACAAGGATAACAATTACTTATTTCTTTGTAGCAGTAAAACACCAAATAAAGCTCCAGAGATCTACCCAGTGCTCTGGCCCTTGCAATGAACACAGCTGTTTTGGTCCTCCATCAATTGAAAAAGCCAATTCAGTGAAGAAAAGACACACACTTCAACATACTTCACACTCAATCCCTAACTCAAAATGTTCACACAATCAAACCTACAATCTTTAAAATTTCAAAATATTTTAGCATGCAAAATCAGCTCATCGGGAATATTTAGCAGTGAGCCACCAGTACTAAGGAAGGTACCCCCTACACCTTTCAGAGTCAGCAGCACTGTAACTAACTCAAAATTCATGTTGAGAAGAATCTGTTTCCCTTTTGCATCATACTGTAACATATTTACCTATGTGTCTGTGCATAATACATTTCCACATGCTTGCTGGAAACTGGGGTAACAGAATAGGTGACATTATTCTCTAATAGTCTGATTTCCACCATAGTCCAATTAGTAACCTATAGTCCATAGTCCAATTAGTTTAACCTACAAACTGACACTCAAGGTTTAAATATAAAGAAATCAAGACCAGGCACTGCAGGAACTCTGGACAGAGGAGGACAGGACCTGTCACCCTCTTTTCAAAGCACTCGATGGATTTGCCTATTTGTTCAATTAAATCCTGAATACACAGAGCCAGGGATTTAGCTGAAGGGCACGAAGCCTGCCTCAAGTGCAAGTTCCTGAACTTGATCCTTGGTGCGGGGGTGGGGAGGACACACAACTCTGAATACCCAGTACAATGCTTGGCATACCCAAGGTTCTCAGTCCAATATGTGTGGGTGATTAAATTAATACATCTTCAGTTTGATTTTGACTATGTGCACAGCACCTAGTTACTTGCCAGTGTCCTAAGTAAGGGTAAACCACATGCACACTCCGTCACCAGAGGATGGCTCGCACCCGGCTGCCAATTATAAACTGCACTGTGACGTCAAAGCTCTAAAATGCTACGATCCAAACTGCTGTACAAAACTCCACTAAAACTCAGTGACAAGCAATTTGAGTATTCATTAAATGACTGCTCAGCAGAAATAAAAATCATAAAAGTTTTCATATGAACCTGCTCAGCTGCATATATTCTACAAGTCGTCTGGTAGCAAGTGCAGTACGCATGCAACGGGTGGTGATGTGGACCTGACACACATGGAAATATTTACATACACCTCTCAAAATCTGTGAGGAAAAATTTCAAAAACAGCTGACTTAGGAAGACACAAAATAAATCAGAAAATAAATGTAGTGAAAATCAATTTAAAGAAAACAATACAATTAATTAAATACAGGGTTAGGCCACAGCAGAATGAACGTAAGTGAATGACTCAGGCTTGGGACTAATTCTCTTAAAGGAAACTTCTTTTTATGAGACCCTGTCTCTAAAAATAAAGACAAAACAAGACCAAACCAAACCCCAAAATCCAAAGTGTGTGCCACTGATGAGTTCAGCAGGCTGAGCGCCTGGGAGGCGCTGCACAGACACAGCCCGCCTGCTCCCATGCCAGCGTGGCCTTGATGGAACACACAGAATCCAGACAGGACAGCGTGGTGGACGGCCTGATGACAGTGCTTCCTCAGGATGGGAATGCAGAAAGTGCATGGGAGAGAAGAGTCATCCCCAGGCAAGGAGGAGTGTCGGAGGCCCTCTTCTTCAGAGCTGGAGGAGCATTTCCTTAAACAAAACCAGACTGTCCTCCAAACACTCATTCTTCTTTTAACTGCCCTCACTTGTGAAAGGTAGGGATCTTTCTTTTTCTGTACCACTCCTTACGTGAACAGCTTCTACCACACCACTGTGAAGTGATCTCTCCACACAAACAATAAGCCAAATGTGCCCGTAACTTCTCATTTGAACTTCCCTGCTAATATTAAAAACTTAACTTTTAACTCTCCTTAACATGTGGCTTAAAAATTAAGCACTTAACTAATGATTGATATATAATTGGTAGTATATATTTGTACTATAGAAAATACTATCTTACCTGGAATTCACTGGTCTTCTAAATATAAAGAATCAATTTCGGGCCAGGGATTTGGCTCAGTGGCACTGTGCCTGAGTTCATCCTCTGGTACCCCCCCAAAAAATCAGCTTATACAGTAACATTCTACTATCTGATCACAAATTTGGATGCTAAGTCAGATATGGCTCTATGACTTAGTTTAAAAAAAAAAGAGAAGCCAGATATGGTGGCACACATCTGTAATCCCAGCACTCTGGGAGGCTTAGGCAGGATGATCACAAGTTTGAGCCCAGCCGGGCGAGCTTACCGAGATCCTGTCTCAAAAAAGACAAAATAAAATAAGTAAAAATAAAAAAGACTGGGGATGTAGCCCAGTGTGAAGGCCCCACATTCATTCTCCAGTACCGCTAATCAAGCAATCAATCAATCAATCAAAAAAGGAATAAAAGTCATCACTCCCTCCAAAAAGAGCTGAAGGTAAAAAGACTGACACATGCTTCAAGTTCATCAGCCATTCCAGATCTTCATAGTATCTCTCAAAAGTCCTAAAAAAGCACATCTAACTTTCTGAACAATTTAAATCCAACTTCTGTCTGCTTTAAGATTTGATGTATCAGTTTGGTTATTAGAAATATCTAAAACATTTACTTCTATAATGTTAATCACCTATTTTTTCTTACCTCTACAGAACATGACAAAGTGTATATTATTTACACGCTACTACAATTTTCTCCTCCACAGAGATTTTTGACAAAAAGCAACAAAACTTCCATTATTTACTACTAGACTAAAAACAATTCAAAATAGCTTTGGGGTTAATAAAATTTTATTAGAAAGAAAAAATCTGTGTATTAATTGAGGTTAATATATGAAGTATGAAAAAGGATTCTTATATTAGGCAGAGGGTACCAATCAACTCACAGAAGCAATGAAGCCAAATATATTGAGCAATTTGTAAATAACTAAGTGACAGCAGCAGGGGACAGGTTAAGAGACAAAGATCAGAATGAACACTGCACCCGCAAGGGAGCACAAGCCCAAGCCCCCAAACCCAGGAAGGTTATGCAGCAGCTGGAAAACTAAACTCATGAAAACCCAAAATGTGTGGTAACGGGAGTGCTGTGTGATGAAAGCCTGCACCAGATGCACAAGAGCACGCAGGTGCACCGTGTGCACAGAAACCACACGAGCGCCCTCTGGTGTTATTATTATTCCTGCACCACAGTAAGGTTATTCTGAGGGGGGAAATGAGACATTAACATAAAAGGGAAAAATCCAGTCCATATTGAACAATTACCAAATATGAAAAGTGATACTGTTAGTAATTTCTTAACAAAGTGGCTTATTTTTGTTTCTGTTCACTTTCAAAGAAAAAACTAGATTTGGAACAACTTTACCTATAAATTATTTTAAAATATACTTGCAGCTCTAAGCAGTGGTGAAAGGCAATATACGTTAAGCACTAAGTACTGTAGTGTTTTTAGGAGAGGGGATGACAGGAAACAACACTGACTAGCATTGTGGCATGAGAATACAGCTGCAGCTATTCAAAAGGCTGATGGAGGAGGGCAGACTGAGCCCAAGAGTCTGAGGCCAGCCTTGTCAACTTAGCATGACCCTATCTCAAAAAACAAAAATTTACTGACTAAGCTTACTTTCTCCTTCACTCTGCCTAATTAAAAATCAAGGGGTCCACCTCAAATTAAGTCTGTCACAACCCAGTCGTCTCAGGCCTGCTTTTGTGCCTACCAGGTCTGGTCATAATTTTCTTTTCAATCCCCACTGACCCTGATGGGAAAAATAGCTCGGTCTGCCTGTGGGCCAGCACTACCTTCCACAGCTCAGTGCTGTTGTCTAAACTCCCCAAGCACAGGGTGCACTGCTGGGAAGTGGGCTGCTTTGGCCGCACCAACACATACATAACTGAATTCTTCTCCCAAGTTTCCTTTAAGAATGAATGACGCATACTTAGCAATGCGAATGTGACACAAATTCTTATGACCAGAAGTAAACTTTTGGAATCAATGCTTTTAATAACTAACCTTCAATAGTCACCTCAACTTCAGGGTCCTCACTTGTTTCTGAAGGGACATGTTGAGTAGAATCTTGAAAAAAATAAAATTCTAAAATGACATTCATTATTAAGCATTTTCCATATGTTCCAACATTTTACTGATTCGATACTCCCCAAATGGCCTACAATAAATTTTAATTCATTTCATATTTATCAAAAATATTTGACCCTTTTGATTAGAAACAGGGATAAAGGAAAACTCTGGAATATGATTATATAATACCAAGTTACCTGCATTCATGGACTAAAAAAAAAAATCCATATTTATGGATGAATTAGATTATAACAATTTGACGGTTATTTTCCTGTGATAACTAGAAAACCACAGGGTAAAAAACAGACACTTTCTACTTCACACACTATTTCTCCCCTCCTTGCAGGAATTCTAGGAGTGGTTTACATTTATACTACTGAGTGTAACCAAAATGTTTAGCAATAGAGACCTCATACTAAGAGAATGACTACAGAAAATGAATAGGTGAGTATTGCCTCTTTGTATACAAGTTACTTTTTAAAACTAAGTGTTTTATTTATGCTCTTGTTGCTACACAAACCAAATGTATATTGGAATGTTAGTGCTAGCGGCTTAGCTAAAGAGTACTTCATTTTATTAGCCCTCTTTCATTTTGCAAAGGTTGAGTGATTAATTGATTTGCCAAAGACTGTTTACTTGTTAGTAAAGGAATAAAGACCACAACCCAGGTTCAACTCAAATCAATTAAGAGTGAAATACAACAATGAAAATTTCCTCAAAACAAAGTCTCTCAGAAGGTGCCATCTAACAAAGTATGTGCGCTGTGACCGGCCTCAGTCTGGGCTGCAGCGCAGAGCCCTTGTTAGAAAAGCCGCCTGTCTGGGACAAAGATGCTGCCCCCAAGGGAAGAGCAGGTTACCTTCCTGCAGCAAAACAGAAAATTCATCCACATCCATCTATAAAAGGATCGGAAAAAGAAATGTAACACAGTGTTTGAAATTAGCCTAAGAGCATCTGTAGGAGAAATGTACTCCAATTATGCAAATTCCAGGACTGAATTTGGAAAGATTAGCCTGCGTTCCAAGAACATTATAATTTCTCCTCCGTTTGTAGAACATAAAAAAATCAAACCATTTTCTAAAATAACATGAAATAGCAAATACAAGGAATATGAAGTTACGGAATAATTCCCTTTTTATTCTAGAAAAGATAATATGTGAGGCACAAAATACAATCAGTTTATGAGAGAAATGTTAATTCCAAAACAACACCCAGTTACCTTCGCAGTCACTTTCCTTGGAAGAATCTACAATGCCTCCTGTGGAATGAACTACTCAGCCCTCTTAGGAGTGGGAAGTTATCCTCAGACTAACGGTTTGACTCACTAGTCCACAACTAACAAAGCTCATGGCTGAACACTCAACCCTAAAATCAAAGTCATATAGCCAGCAAAATGACAAAGTCGTTCACGGGGCAGTAGTGAGTATAAAAATAAAAAAGTGAACTTCATTAATTTTATCTATATTTCCCTACTGAAAGATTGGGAGCATTCAGTAGTAATTTTTAAATGAAATATGACTATGGTCAGTAATAATGTCAACTCTGAAATACTGAAGCCATTTCTCCTTGAAAGATTTTTTAATACGGCAAAAGAAAACAAAATACACCCAGCGCATGACGTACCAGGCAGAGCTTTACTTACTGTGGAGTTTCTGCGCCCATGTGCTCTCTCATACAATAAGAGACACATTCCGTCTTAGATCTTTGCAAAGAGAACTGTTAGCGAGGAAAGTGTACCAAAATAGCCATCTTTTTATTTCCAAATTAAGTCATTTTAAGGAAAATATAAAGCCACACAATACAGTAAACACAAAATATCTATGGCAAAATGAAACACCACCCCCCTTTCTTTCCTAACCTTCTGCTGGAACTTCCATTTCTGTTCCTTCATTGCCCTCTGAAGAATGATGGCTTCCTAAAAAGAAAACAGACAGTATATACTAAACCAATAAAAAACTTGCCACCGCAAGAAGAAAGAAAAACTAGGTGACATTACAAACAATTCAAGATAAAATAAACAGATAGGAAATAACTCTTTAACTCAATAATAAATTCAAACAACTTTTCTAATTCCAAAAAACGTGTAATAACTATTTGGAAGCTAAAACATCTCGAAAAACATACACATACAAATGTAAATATACACAGTAAAGCTAAACAGGCTTAGTAGTATCAGTTACGACATGCTCTAACTACTGGTGGAGGCTGGGATCTGAGAAAGCACGGTTATATTTCAGGTACCATGCTCATCTGTCAACAACTACACAACCAAAACCAAATGCGAGCAGAGTCCTGCTTTGCTCAGAGACTTAAGTCTAGAAAAGCAAGTTTAGGCTGCTGTGGAGTATGTCCTGCTCTCCGTGTTCACTATGGTGGGAGCTAAGGAAACTCCATCCCCATCATCTAACCAAGCTGTGCTTAAAGGAAACACGCAAGTTAAAATTTGAGATACCACCTTTAGTTTTAAAAGCATTTTAATTCAGGTAATATAATCTGCCTGCTGCTTCTAAAAACTGGAACATAAAGCAACGTGTCAGGAGTCACAGAGTAAATAGGCTATGCCACTAGAGCAGTTTTTCACAAGGAGCAAAACAACCTAAAACAGCAGAAAGCCACAGGAGGAAGTGCTCCAGGCACTCCCAAACATACATCCTACTTCTCCAAAAATGCTGTCCTCAGTCTCATCAGTAAAAATCATTTAGAGAGGAAAGACTAATGTATTTGCCATTATCTACTGATAACTAAATTCAGAAGCTTACTAATGGTTAACGTCTAAATTGTAAGTATATCTTTATCCTGATTTTTGAAGAACATTAATTACAATCTCAAAAATGTTATTAAAATGCCAAACTAAGCTCAAAGATTTTTTCTCCAGTATTTAACTTTATATGGCATAGTTATCCCGGAATTCTTTTCCATTTAATGCTGTGAAAAATTCACCTGAACTCAAAACTACAGGTAAATTGTATACTCATGAATCAACCTTTAATTAACTTAAAATATGTCCTCTCAGGGGATGGAGATTTAGCTCAGCAGTTCAGTGGCCTGCCTTGCAAGCACAAGGACCCGAGTTCAATCCCCACTACCAAAAAAAAAAAAAAAAACCTTTTAAAAATATCTCCTCTCTATACAAACTCCTTCCCTTTCTTTTTTACCTTTTTATCTACATTTATGGAGCAGTTTTAATTTCTTTGACTGCAGTCAAAGGAAACAGTGATGTGAAGTCAAAGGGACAAAGATAAGAGGAGGCCGGTAGGAAAAGGACAGGCTGGGTAAGGACAGTGAAGGTAGCTGTTCACGAAAACAACTATTCTCTCTTTTTTGTTCTATCAAAATTTGAAATAGACAATTACATTTACATTATAAAGTAAATCTAAAGAAAATAAACCTTAAATGCTCAAAACAATAGAAATAAAAGCCATCACTTAACAACATACGATGATGAACAGGTTTGGGAACACTGTACAAAACTGCAAAGATAATCAATTAAACATAGGGATTTACAAGTGATAGTTCACAATCCTTCCAAAAGCAAAGTATCAACATGACCTTATCAATATTAACATCACTAATTATGCAATAATAACCTTACTTCTGACTATTCTGATATAAGGTATAAATGTGTACTTTACCTTAAATATGAAAGTGTGTCATGTACCCATTTCGAGATTCATTACTAGATTCACAAAAGGGAAAATTGGTTTTGAAAAATTGTTGCTTGTGAAGTTCATTTATATGTTTAAAAAAAAGGCCAATACATTTTCTTTTTTGCTTTTCCATTTGGAAAAGTAATAATATAGTTATAAATATTAAAGCACAGTCTGTCCAATATAAAGGAACATTAAAAACGAACAGGATGTGGGATAATGGAAGTGAAAAGGTTCTACCTTGCAAAGACTTCGAAAGAGGGAGTTTTTCATCAACATCATCAGTTTCAGAAGGGCCTGCTTTGGGATACAAAGATAATACTTCAAAAGTAATCCCCAAAACGGATTCTGGGTCACTTTTGTGAACAAATTTGGATGAAATATATGACAATGGCCTTTCTACAAAAAAAAGAAAAAGAAAAAGAAAAAGAAAGGACAAAATGAGCGATGTTAATTATGGTCTTAGTGAATGAAAAAAGTGTATTCAGATAAATTTTTGTATGAATGGCCAAAAGAAATTTAGAATGTGACTGGACACATGAACTGAATGGAAATGGCATGTCTGAAATGGTGGCTGTTTTTTAAAAACAGTAAAATGTTCATAACAACAAACTAACTTTTACTTAACACAGGTTTATTACAGGTATATTTGTTTATTCCTTAACAAATATTTAATCTTTTGTCATACTTAAGAAAGCTGCACAAACTGGTACACCCTTCTTACATCTCTAAGATGATGTAACCCTTTCAGTAAGCCTCCCTCTCCACTCACACATACCCTGTTCTTGCAGAATCATAAGTACTTTTTAGTAAGTTAATAAGATTTTTTGCGATTATTAATAGAACGTACTTCAGGCTAATCTTTCACAAAATGCTATGAAGATCTTGACAACACATTTATATGTATCAGCAACTTTTTAGTGATTTATCAATTTAAAACAAAACAGCTTCCGACGGCTACATCATTACATGAGCACAAAACATCTCACTATCTCCAGATACATTCCAGAAAACGTCCTAAGACATTGTGAAAGAATTCACTAATCCATATGAAATTCACAAAGGCATTTGCCAAACTACACATTACAAGTAAAGGATGCATGCACAAAGGACAGTAACTGTGGGCCAGTGGTAAACAGCCGGACGGTGTGTACAAGGCCCTGAGCATGATCCCCAGGGACAACAACATTAAAAGTAAACAACTGCATGAAAAATTAAAAAGTTTGTATTTGGAATCTCCCCTAAGAGCAAGACTGCATGGTGAGTCCTAAAGTCAAGTGCCAGACCTACTGCTTCCTGGCCATGTGACCCTGGTAGAATGTACAGAACTGGTCAAGGAAGGTGCACTGCAGAACATCTGTCTTACTGTAGCTCAATGGTAGGGCATGAGCTCGGCATAAAGCCCTGGGTTCAATCCCAGCACACAGAAAGAGAACAGAGCAGAAAAGAGGGGAGAAAGAGAAAGGGAACCTCAGGAGCCAAAGCTTTAGCTGCTAATCCCAACCTTAACTATGTGACTTTCTCGATATTAAAGCCTTCTGGGGTGGGGGCAGTGGGACTGAGCCTGCAGCCTGTGCACCCTGTACACTGGCTCCATTTCTCAGCCACGGCTATAGCCTAAGAGGCTGACATTAACTACACCCACATTTCTTAATTAACTGTGTCACCGATTTCTAATTTACATTATGTTCAGGGAATTCACTAAGGCCACCTATGAAAAAAATATCATATATAGTCCACTTTTTAAAAGTTTCTCTGTAGGGGGCAGGACCAGGGAGTACTAGGGAAGCACTCCATCACCGAGTCCTGCAGTCAATTTTTATAAACGATTTCTGTTTTCTAAATAAACATGTATTTGCTGGATATATTATTCTCTGTATGTATCAATTGGCTTTCTCTTGTTAGCTGTACTTCCAATATTCTATTTAAACATAGATATTCATCAGCTTAGTATGTTAGCCATTAAAACCTCCCACGTGATACAGAGATAATTTATAAATTTATCATGATTCTGTTAATTACTTCTGCTTTTACTCGGAAGTCACACAGGGACAATCAAATGAATGGTTGCAATATCAACTTAGGACTTATTCCTTTATATATTATGGATTTTCTCTCTATGCCTTTTTGAAAATAGTTAATAGTTGTAAAGTTTGACTAGGAAAATTTGAAATCAAGAGGAAACACAGCACCTGAGACTAACAATTATGATAACATCATTACATGAGAACCATTGGGAGTTCTTCTAAAAATACATCTGAATTTCCATTTTAGTATAAAATAACTTTATTTAGACAGTCACCTTTATCCAATTACACAAACTTTTTACCTAAATTTGTTACCTTTTTTTAAAAAAAGTGTCATTTTCTTTTTCTTTCTCTCTCTCACTTTTTTTTTTCCCTGGTACCAGGGATCAAACTCAGGACCTTATGCTTGTGAGGCAGGCAGCAGAACCACTGAGCTAAATCCCAGGCCCTAAAATGGCATTTTCAAAAGGAACAAAAAAATGCCTTTTTAAGTAGAGAGTACTTGTTCACAGATGTAACCATCGCCCAGCCTCCAGTCCTCACAGTGTGACACTGCACTGCGCTGGGTATCATTTCAGCTCACAATGACCTAACAATCACATAAACATCAACCTGAACAGAGGTGACAGATGAAGTGTATCACAACCATACATGTAAGTACTACAGGATTTGTCACCTGCTTATGACAAAAGAAAAATCTTGAAGGCCATGTTAAATTACACACTGTATGAAAACAACATGCTGTATGCTACTCTTTGTGTCAGTTTGAAAACTAAGCCAATAGTACACATAAAACGTATTTGTATAGATACAAAGACAGGCATTTCCATGGAAATCGATGCACAGTAAAAGTTATCACAAAGAGGAGCTGGGGATGTAGCTCAGTGGCACTGTGCCAGCCTCGCAAGCACGAGACCCTGAGTCTAATCCCCAGTACTGGGAGGAAAAAAATGTTATCAGAAAAATAGTCCTCAACTTCCAAGAGAAGTCAGGCATGGTGGCTCCCAGCACTCGGGAGGCTGAGGCAGGACGACTGCCATGAGTTTCAGGACAGCTTGGACTACATAGTAAGTTCAAGGTCAGCATGAACTATATAAGAAGACTCTGTTTCAACAAAAATTTCCAGGAGAAAATAGTGAGAACTGTGGGAAAATATTTGGGAGAGCACAATGAGGTCTTCAATTACATATACACATGTTATTTCTTGGAGTTGTGAATGCAGACAGAATATTAAGATTCAGACCTGGGCAGATTTTTATGTTTGCAGGTTTTGAATATTAAATTTTTAAAGAAGCATTGTTTAATGCACCATGCCAAGTAAATGCTCTGTAAATACAAATAATAAAGTCTCAAACACTACACTGTATAAAAAAGGTTGAAAGAATACATGCCAGAACATTCTATTTTAATATTAAATACAGAAACAAGCAAAACCAATCTAGCTGTTCAGAACACTGGTCCCTAACAGGGAGGAAGCCCAGGGAGAAGAGCTCCCAGAACACTGATAAAAGATCTTCCAAATGCCTGAAGCAAAACCGCTAAGCCAAAACCAACCACAAATAGACCAATCCACCAAGGCTACAGAAAATCCCAGTACACTTCATGGGAACTGGCAAAAAAAATCAGAAAGAATACAGCCAACCCAAAAACCTCTACCAATCAACACAAATTAAATGACATTTCAGAAAATTCTGAAAAAGAATGAAGTCGGATGATATTCATAATCTGACTCCAAGAAATACTATAAATTTGTAAGTGGAAAGGAAAGGGTAACACCAGCAATGACAGACGCATGTATCAGTGTCCCAGAATACACACCAGAATTGCCAGATGCAAAAGAATTCGATGGGAAAGTGAGGCATGGTGGCACATGCCTGTGATCCTGGCACTCTGGGATTATGATTCCATTCACACAAATTTCTAAGAAATATAAAACTAAAATGGTAGAAGATTGATCAGTGGTTGCCTAATGACTAGAGAAAGCATGAATTACACATGAATTACAAAGAATGACACATGGAACATTTGGGGTAATGGATATTTAATTATCTTGGTTGTGGTGAAGATATCTTAGGTACATACATGACAAACACAACCAGAGTTTACATTTACATTTTTAATGTTTAATGGAGTATAATTATGCAGTCATAAAAAAATAAGCTGGTAATAAAAAGTAGATAACATTCTTCTAAAGTAGAACACATTAATGCATAAAGTATCTAGTGTGAAATTTTAGCCTTCAGTTCTATCCAGAAAATTAATCAAGAAGATAATGGACTCTGTTGTGATAAATTAAAAGTGTAAATAAGAATCAAAATGTACAATTGATATTGTGTAACATGAAAAAATGTCTAAAGGTGTAGGGGAAGTGGGAGGGGCAGGGGAAAACTAAGAAGGGAAAAGAAGAAAGGAGAATGGAAACAAGGTCTCTGTAAATAGGTAAGAAGGAGGGGGCGAAGGGAGGGCAGGAGAACAGGGAAAAAATAAGAACCAAGACCTGTCACGTAAAGGTACGAGATCCCAATGATGAATGTAATTGTATTGTATACCTAAAATATACCAATAAAGAAAAAAGAAAAAAAAAGATAATAGAACAACATGACAAGAGCTAAAATTAGCCACTGTTGTAAATTTCATAGATTTTCAAGATAATGATAATACTTAGAAATTTTGTTTATTTCTAATAGACTGGGGAGGGGAGCCTTCAGATATAGCTCAGTGGTATAATTCTTGCCTAGCATGCACAAGGCCGTGGATTTGATTCCAAACAGTGCAAAGGACACAAAAACAAAAACAAAAAGTAAAGGCAGGAATAGTGGTGCACACCTGTAATCCCAGCACTCAGGAGGCTGAGCCAGGAGGATCACTATGAGGTTGAAGCCAGCCTGGGCTAGACAGTGAGTTCAAGGCCAGCCTGAACTAACAATGAGACCCTCCCTGCCTCAAAAACAAAAGCAAAAACAAAACAGAAGTGGGGTAAAGAAGGTAGAAGAATGATGGATGGACATGATCAACAGAAAACATATATACACTGTAAATATCACAGTGAATGCCACTAATTTCCATAATTAACATTATTATAATAAAAATAAAGAAAAGTTCCAAAGACCTTACATTTTACAAACAATACCAGAAACTGGAACTGAACTTTTAAGTTCTGCCACAATCTTAGCTCATCTTTTTAAGAATATTAATAGCTATTTTACATTTCCCCTACATATTATATTATTGCATCATTTTTCAAATGTTCTATCCCTGTGGTGAATTTTAAGTATATATGCTAATCATGGACCAATCAATAAAATGACATTTAAGAGATTCAGGTAAAAAGACAAATTTTAACTTTAACTACTAATATGATTTGGGAAAACAATGCATTAAGTAATATCACCTTGAATGTTATATTGATAGTAATCAGGGTCTTCTGACTCCTCCTTTACTGTCACAGCTGCCATTTCCAGGGAAATGCCTATAAAAGCAGAAGCAATCCTACAGTTAACAGCAGGGTATCCAGTTAAGATTGCATTGAGAGAGAGAGAAAGAGAGAAATGAGAGAAAGAGAGAAAGAGAGAGAGAGAGAGAGAGAGAGAGAGAGAGAGAGAGAGAGTGTGTGTGTGTGTGTGTGTGTGTGTGTGTGTTTAAAGGATTTGGGGAGGATAAAATTTGATAGGTAGCAGGGAGAAAAAAAATCGTTCATAACGGCAACCAAGACAAAGCCACTATTAATCTAGGATTATTCTCTGCTAATTTTTCCCACAAGTTCTCATCGCTGCTGTCTTTTCATCCTCTACCTAGATGATGTATTAGTTCAATAACAAGAAAGTGAATCAATCTCTCTGATTAAGTCATCGGGTATTTACAGATGAAACTGGAAATTCCTTCCATAAGATGCTTTCTGAACTAATTTGAAAGCACAGTAAAGGGCGCTGTGTTGGCAGACTCTGCAATGGGAAGTTCAGATGTGACACAATGGCAGCTCTTTCCTGTGCTCTAGAAGAGGTCAGATGAACAAGTGTCACTACTGTGCAAAGACGTGACATTCTGTTATGTATGACTGAATTTTTGGAGCCCACCTGTAGCCTATCTGGCAGGTTATTTATAAATACCATAAAAACTTTTTTTTCCCTTCTAATCACTAAGGAAAAGATAAACTGCATTAGCAATAATAACATACTACCCCCCTAAATTACATATTTTTTGTTGAAATATGGTTCGTTTTGCTCTTTGTTTTGTTGTCTTGCATTCGGTGCCAGGGATCGAACTCAAGACCTTGTACTTCCAAGTGTGGTACCCCTGAGCTAAATCCCTGGCCCTGTTCTGACTCTTAACACAGTCTTTGAGTAACAAAAAATGATTCCAATAAAACTGTCATCAGGAGTCAGGGGAACAGGTGCATGCCTGTAATCCCAGCTACTTGGGAGGCTGAGGCAAGAGGATGACAGCCTGAAAAGCCTATTGAGGCATAATCTCAAAAAATGGGTTTAGGGCTAGGAATGCAGCTCAGGGATAGAGCACTTCCTCAGCATGCCCAAGGCCCCAGGTTCATCTTCAAAATATAACAAAAAGTTTGGCCAAGGTAGAGAAAAACAAAAACCTTCCTACAGTGCAGGGGGAAACATAAAAGAGCAGAGTCACTGGGGAGAAAAGTTTGGCACTTCACATCACAAGAAACAAAAATATACTTCCCCATGAAGACACACACTGGATGTTTGCTGCAATGCTATTTACAACAGCCAAGAAATGGAAACAACTCAAACATTTACTGAATGGTACAGGTAGAAAGAAGAAGTAACATCCATACAACAGTGTAGTATTCAAGTGTAAAGTGCTTAGATGCTAACCTTTTTTTGAACAAGGGCCTCAAAATATGGTGCACAATTAAGGAATCAAAATGCAAACTACTACAAATTGAATAATTCCACTTACATGAAATGTCAGAGTAAAACAAATCCATAAAAACCGAAAGAAGATTAATTATGATAACAAAGACTGACGGAAATGGGCACCAGATTTTGGATAACAGAAATGTTCAAAATCCAGATTACAGCGATCAATGCAGAACTTGCTAAGTTTACAAAACAATGCATTTGAACCATAAAGCAGGTGACAGGCTAGGGCTGCAGCTCAGGGGTAGAGTGCATGTCTAGCAAGTGCAGAACTCTCAGTTCAATCCCCAGCACTAGAAAAACAGCAAGCAAGCAGGTAATTTTTTTTGGAGACAGGGTCTCACTATGTAGTTCAGACTGAGCTGGAACTCACTATGTAGTCCAGGCTGGTCTCGAACTCACAGCAATCCTCCTGCCTCAGCCTCCCAAGTACTGGGATTACAGGCATGTGCCACCACACCCAGCCAGGTGATTTTTATGGCATATAAATTTACAAATTCTATCTCCACAATGCTGCCCTTAAAAAAAAAACTATGTATGAAAAAGGAGATAAGAAAATACCAAAAACAGTTTAGAGTTAAAAATATTCCCCTTGGCAAGTAGCCAATGGGAGTGCAAAGGGAACAGAACAGAACAAGAGTACTGATTTTTTGTAAAGCGCACTTTGTAATGAGGTTACCTTTCATCTAAATTTGCTGGGGGGAGGGAGGGCACAATATATTTTACCTATAAAATGTAATGATCAACAATCTTCTGGTTACCACATATGAGCAAACTCTCTTCAGAGGCCTCACTATACAATGTAATATTAACCAGAAGTCATTGTTGGAAAATATTTGTAGTGCTTGCCCATTTCTCATCAAGACAACACGATAATAAGTCAAAATATAACTTCTAAAATAAGGAAAATTCTTCTTTAGTTTTACAACTGATTTGAAAAGCATACCAGAATCTTCTGTGGGTTCAGTTTTCACTTTGATGGGGCCACAACTGAAAGAAGAGATAAATCTAAATTAAACTATGCAGGGGTAAAAACACTCATATAGCACTACTCAAATGAAACCCACAGCATGGTCAAGGATATCAGTTTCATCTAGAAAACAAAATTATTCAAAACACCTACATCACAAAGTACCTTTTCCCAAGGCCCCCAGATAACGTAACTGCACACTGAACAGAGAAGTGTGGCACACGGCCTTTTTAATAGTCTAATGACACCCAGGCATGGCAGTTTACTAGCATAGTAAGTTAGGGTTTACCTTCCACCTGGAGACAGGATTGACCTTTCAGAATCTGTTACCATTACTCGACCACCTACAAACAACAACAACAACAACAATTTAGATTTAGGTTTCCTCAAAACTTCAAATATAACTCATGTATCCTGCCCCAGGCTTTATACAACAGCAAGGAGTAAGGGCTGGGTCATATGAGAATAACAACAGTACATACTTTGTTTTCGACAATCACCTAAGAACTTTTCAACTTTTCACCTACTAGCATCTTTTTTTAACGAAAAAACTCAGACTTCTGTCAATGAAACAAATACAGATATATATTATTTCTCAAGTAAGGTAAACTAAAACCATGCTGATACATAAATGATATACATTGCTATTAATGCTTACCAGTCCAATTATTTAAATACAGGATGACCAAAAATTGCAGTTTTTGTTAATTTCTCTAACAGAAAATGTTATCTAATGAAAATGTTATCAAATTTATATTCATAGCCAGGTGGGGTGGCGCACGCCTGTAATCCAGCACTCCAGAGGCTGAGGCAGGAGGATTGCTGTAAGCTGAGGCCAGCCTGGGCTACATGGTGAGTTCAGGGCCAGCCTGAATTACAGACTAAGAAATAAATAATACATTTATATCCAACAATTTTTCTGTGTATGGTTCACCTTAAAACATTAATACACAATGGAACGTTACAATCTGAACAGTACTATCTATTCTTTTTCCAAATTCTTTTCACATTACTGTCTTTCTTTGAACAACACACTTCTCACTGTTGTGCTGGCCTTTCTCTTTTTTTCTCTGGGTGGTACAATTTCTATAATAAAACATCTATCCACTAAACACAATGCTGAAAACGTGGATGATGGGTGTCCTGGTTGGTGTTTTGCTATCCTGTGTTTTTCAATTATTTGGTCTATTAGACTTTACCTAAGTTGTAAATGACGTTTTGAACCCCCTTGTTTTGAATAAGTAACAAATGAGTGCCATACTGTTTGGTCCAGAAGGTGCATAAATGCTTTATAACAATACTTTTTCCCTCCCTTTTGATTAAAGGAGCGCTTATTAGATACTGGTCAACTGTCAACACCACCCAGAGAATTATTACAATCACTGACCACTACTGGAATTTTTAGTTTCATTTCTTCTTTCTAGGTCTATCATTTCTGTATTATGAATAGTAGACTATAAGGAGATGTCTTCTTTTGTGTTCCCATTTCATAACGTAAGATTTCTCCCTCTCTGATATGCTGAAATTTCTCCCTTTTCCCATTTTTTCTTTTGCAGATCTTCTGACACTTCCTTCTTATTCAGTCTCAGTGTCCCAAATGTGTCTGTTTTGTATTGCAAAAGAATATCACTGAGTTCTGGGGAAGTATAAAAATTATCTTATATAATGTACTTATAGTGTTTTTATAGACTGTAGCACAGAATTATAGGTTATTTTTAAAATAAACATGTATTAGTAAAATAAAGCAACCAGAACTTATTATTAGATTTCATTAGAAACAATCATTAAAGGCAAATATTCTAAATAAAAATGTATGCAAAAATAGTCAATATAAATAAAGCAAACAAACTGACCTACGAATGTATCTCCTGCAAACAAGAATGGGACTGGATGAAACGACAGCTGCCCAAGCAATGCTGGGGACAGTCAGTACGTTAACAAACAAACATACCGCACAACTGATGCACAGGTAAAGTGTCAAGTGGTCAAGACTAAACCCGGCCATGTGTGGCAGCGCACACCTCTAATCCCAGCACTCCGGGAACCTGAAGCAGGAAGTCTGCCAGAGCTACTTAGTAAGAGAGACGCTGTACCAAATTACACAGAGAAGTGGAAAGGGTTGGGGACGAAGCTCAGTGTGAAGAGGTTCAGGGCCAGGGAGGAGGGAGGGGAAGAGCAGCAGCAGCTTAGAAGGACCGGAAGGCAATGGCTGCTAACAGGTAAGGGACTTCTTTTGGGGGTGATGGAAATGTCCTGAAATTAGTAGTAATAGCTGCTCAACTTGAAATTAAAAATCACTGAATTGAATACTTCAAAATGGTAAACTTTACAGGCAAATTATACTGCAATTGAGAAGAAGAGGAAGAGACAGAAGTGTGAATGAGAGTAACTGCACCAAATGATGAAGATGTAGAACTGGCTTTTCATGTAACAATCACTTCAAAACTCCATTTTGCAACTTCTTAAAAAGTTAAACTTGTAACTACCAGATTACCCAGCACTTCCTGTAACAGTAAAGAAATGTCAATCACCAATACTCAACACCAGATCAAGGAATAAACCAATCACGATACACTGCAATGTAAGGAAAAGTGAAATCCTACTTGGCAAATAAAACAGAATGAACTACTGATACATAAAACACAGATGAGTTTCAAAATAAACTAGACAAAAGAGCACATACAATACGACTCCACTCATATGAAAACAGGTAAAATGCAAATGACTCTATGGTGGCAAAGACAGCACTGCTGTGGCCTGGGGACAGGAGGAGCAAAAGGCAAGTTCCTCCTCTCTTCCTCACTCCACCCCACCCTGGCACTGGCCCTCAACCTCTTCACACTGAGCTTCGTCCCCAGCCCTTTCCACTTCTCTGTGTAATTTGGTACAGCGTCTCACTAATAGCCCTGGCAGACTTCCTGCTTCAGCTTCCCGGAGTGCTGGGATTAGAAGTGTGCGCCGCCACACATGGCTGGGTTTATTCTTGACCACTTAACACTTTACCCGCACATCACTGGGGCAGGCAGCGCATTTTCAGTACTGACCGCCGGTCCCGTCCCCCGCAATGGCTACTACGGAAGGCTGGGAACAGGTGCGCTCAATCTCCTGACTGCGATGCTGGTTCCACGATATACACAAGGGAGACAGGTGACCAAATTTTGCACCCTATGTATCTGTAGTCTGTCAGATGTCAATTACATCTCTCTCTTTTTTTCGGGGGGGTACTAGGCATTGAACTCAGGTCCTTGCACTTGCAAGGCAGGCAGCGGCACCACTGAGCTAAATCCCTAACCCTAGATGTCAATTACATCTTAACAAAGCCTTGCCTTCAATCTCACACAACACCCTTGCTGGTCAACTAAGTTTTAACAAAACTGCCAGGGCAACCCACAAAGGAGAGCTTCCTCGATAAAGTAGTAATAGTGAAAATTTTATTTTTTCACCATGCTGAAAATGTTTTCAAAAGATTATTTAAGCCAGGCACGGTGGCACACACCTGTCATCCCAGCACTCAGGAGGCTGAGGCATGAGGATTGCTGTGAGTTTGAGGCCAGCCTGAACTACATAGCAAGACCTTGTCTCAAAAAATAAAACAAACAAACAAAACATTTATTTAACAAAAGCATGGAATGTGAGCCAGGCATGACACTGAACACCTGAAATCTAGCACTCAGGAAGAAGACTAAGGCAGGAGGAAAGCAAGTTTGAGGCCAGTGTGGGCTACATAGTAAGTCTGATGCCAGTCTTAGCTACATATTGAGATCTTTTCTCAAAAAACAAACAAAAAAAGCCAGGAGTGATGACATGTATCTATGATCGCTATACTCTGGAGGCTGAGGCAGGAGGAGAGAGGGCTTGAGGCCAGCCTGAGCCACAAACCGAGTTCAAGGTCATCCTGGGCTACTACATAGCAAATCTGAGGCTAGCCTAGGCACATGAGACTCGCCTCAGTTCCCTGTCAAAAATATAAGAGACTTGGGCCAGGGATGCAACTCAGCAGCACCCACACCTGCCTGGCAAGCCCAAGGTCCTTAGTCTGATTCTGGGTACAGAAAAAAAAAAAGCAACCCTAGGGCCAGAGATTTAGCTCAGTGGTTCTGCCGCCTGCCTCACAAGCACAAGGTCCCAAGTTCGGTCCCCAGTACCCACCTGCAAGCAACTCTAATACAATTGTTTCCAGGTTCCATCAAAAGGGAAACAGAAAGTAAAGTTGTTCCCCATCCAATCCTAGGCTCAGACACACCAAAGAAAGTAAAATGTGTGCATGTATGTATCATTTTTTGCTTTATCCTTACACAGCTAAGAGGTTTCCAATGACTATGTTATTTTCAAAAGTCTCAAACTTGGCCCTAAAGGGTGCCACTTACTACTGTATTTTGCACATTTCTCCTTCAAACAGAATGGTTAGACTTCCCTAAAGAAGTCCTGTTGGAATCCTTCTTGCTCTTTGGGGGTCCAGCAGAATGTCCTCCTCCTGACCAACCCCCTTGGTGAGCTCCAAGGAACCTGGCCGCTAGTGAACTTCCACCACATGTCCTCTGAACCATTATTACAGAGTGATGCCAGCTGTGTTCCTGCTACAACTGCTTTAAGGACTTGTCTATCTTCCAGTGCACACCCGGCCCTCCAAGAGCTTTAATGAGACTGAGGGTTAGGGTTAAGATAGCTCAGTGGTACACTGCTTACGCTGTCTAGATGGGCGAGGCACTTGGTTCCATCCCCAGAACCACAAAAACAAAGCTTGAATGCCACGTGTAGCTCTCTATCCCCTCTCCCCAACCAATGGTTTGCCCAAGAATGTTTTGCCATATCAATGCACATTAGATAAATTAAATCCTGCTCATAATTCTGTACAAGATATCACAAACATAAAACTTTGGCTCTCCACATAAAACAAGCAGCTGAGCTAAAACAAAACCAAGCCTTGTGCCGGAAACGCCCATGGTTCCAGTACTTGGGGGCGGGGCTGAAACAAGAGAACCTGGAGTTCAAGGCCAAAATGGGTTTCATCCTAGAAAATGGGTTTCATTGTAAGGACCCAACTCAAAAGAAAACTTTCTCAGCTCACTGAACCTTTTCCTAGTTTATCACAACCCCCACTCCAAAATATCTTAAATCACCATCTCAATAAAAAAAAAGAGAGAGAAAGCATTAAAATGCATTAAAATCTGGCAAAAAGAATTAAAGACCAGCCAGCTATCATGTAAACAAAGCAGCCACTTACCTAGGTGTTTCTTTGGCTCTAGGAAAGGTCTGAATTGAAACAAAACAAAAACTATGTATGAATACACAAAATTAATATAAAGCATAAAATATTAATAGTATTTTAACATTAAAGTAAGCTAAATATTCAACTTTATCTGAATAAACTGTTGATGGCTAAGAAGGGAGAAAGCATTCACCTCTTAATGATAAATGAAATCCCTGCTTTGTTCTCCAAAATCCACTTCAGGGTCGCAAGATCGTAATTTTCAGGGTGTTTAAAGGTAACCCCTTCCGGAAGCCCCTGCACCATCACAGCCGACTGGTCTCGCAGCATTTTCTCATATGGAACAGGCACCACTGTGGATTTGCCTAAAGCTTTCCCTGAGGGAGCCAAAAAGAGATCAACACCCGTCAAACAGCGAAAATTAAAAAACAAACGGTTAGGGGCCGGGGATTTAGCTCAGTGGCACCATGCCTGCCTTGCAAGCACAAGTCCCGAGTTCAATCCTTGGTACCAAAAAAACCACAAAAAACAAAAAACTAAACCATTAGCAGCTCATCGCAGCTTAACAAATAGCATTCATTTTCTTTTATAGTACTGGGTTTCAAAACTACTTTAAAATAGTATTCCCATGTTACTTGAAGTTCTAAACCTAAAGCAGATCCAAAGGACCAAAATGTAAAGTACATAAATTATTTTACTCTAAAATCTACAGGAGAGAGTAAGAATGGCTAATTTCTTGTACTATTCTCTGTCTTTAAAATGTTCCACACTTCCAGGTACAGTGGTGCAAGCCTATTAACCCTGTGTGCTCAGGAGGCTGTGGCAAGAGGATCACAAGTTTAAGGCCAACCTGGGCAACTCAGAGATACTGTCTCATAATAAGAAAAAACAAAAAGGCAAGAGGGCAGAGCCCAGGGGCAGAGCACCACTGGGTCTGACCGTAGGACCAAGGGGTCCCAGGGCAGCGGGGGTGAGGCTGGGGATTTTGGGTAGTGGTGATGCTGTGGTCCCCTCTGGCTTAACACATGTGGTCAAATACAATTCAGTCAGGTCTGGAAGCCTGACAAACCCAACTACTATCATAAAATACCAGGAAACTCTTAAACTAATATTCTCACTGAAAACACTGGGTACATAAACTTTCACTGCTGTTCACTCGGCAATGAGTCTTGGAGAGGCTAGAAATGCCATTTCAGAGTTGACTTTCCCCAGTGCACACTGCCCCTTCTCTAAAAAGCTCCACTGTACATGTGGCAGATTAACCAAGGTGCTCTGAGAGAACTGGGGAGATCAGCAGCACGTGTGTCAACAACTCTCACACAAGCGTTTCTGAATCCCTTCAAGATGGAAATGGAAAGAAAAGCTGTTCTTGTTTAACCCTGTATGTGAGAATTCATCTATTCAATCTGTGAAAATGTATTACATGACTGTTAACTACATAATCTACTTTTAGATAACTTAATTATATAATGTATCTCTTCAAATTAAAGTGTATTCCCAATGATCAATGTAACTGTATTATATACCTAAAATATACAGTGAACTTAAAGAAAAAATTTAAAATGTATTGCTTTTACCATAGCAAAAGCAGAAATAGTCCTCAACGGTTTTTCTAAGTGTTTCAATTTCCACTGCATCCACACTCATCCGATTTGCCTGGGCTGTAGATTTCATTTTATGCATCTCTGCGGCTTTTTCTTCTTCTTCAACACCTAGAGAATAATTAATGTTATAATGGTCCATACCCGTAAGCTTACTATTTGGTTTTTATTAAGAATATTTTTAGGGGGCCGGGGATTTAGCTCAGTGGTTCCGGCACCTGCCTCACAAGCACAAGGTCCTAAGTTCGATCCCTGGTACCAAAGGGGGAAAAAAAAAA